GCCACAAATGTGTGAAAAATTTCAATAATACATTCCCTGCTTAACTTTCAGGAATATTCTAAATTTTGAAGGAATCTCTTGTTGGAAGCAAGAAGATAATTATGTTTTGCAGCCAATCTGAATACAATTTGATATTTAAAAAAAAGCTGCACATCATTTGGAGAGTAAGAAGAGTTTCGGAATAGTGCTTGCAGACCATAACATTCAAGGATTTATGGATAAAAAATTAAACTCTGAAGAGTATGTTTGGAAGAAGGAAAAATGCTGCTTTTTTCAAGAAAAAGTACAGAGTGGAAGAATTTGAAGAAAAAGTAGAAGGAAAGCCTTGGTCAGGAAATATTAAAGAATTGGCAGTTTAACGGGGTAAAAAACAAAGGCAGGTGGTGTTTTGTGGCCAGCAAATTGTTGGCGGATGGCGGATGGTGGCCTATCAAGGGTGCCCCATCCTTTCAACATTGGGGAGATTTGTTTGGGGTAAAATTTTGGCGGGAGGTGAGGGTGGCGGTTTATTGGGGGGCGGTTTAACAAGGTTCGACTGTAGATGGGTTGGTTGATCTGGTTGATCTTGGTGCAGCCACTTTTTTGTTGTTGCGAAACTAATTTGGTGATGAATTGCAAATGCGGGTCTGTTTTTGTTGCTTTGATGATGATAAAGGTAAGTTACTCCACATCTCTGTTTTTGTTCATTCATTCCTTATGCAGATATAAATTCTGCAGCGCATACAGGAGATTGTCATTGTCCTGCTGGACACTGTGCACTTGCACATCCATTGGTTTGGGGACGGGCCATTGGGGGGGGTGGTTGAATGGGCAGAAGGAATTGCGGCAAAGTGCCGCAGGCTGGTGAGGGTTCCGGCTTGGGCAGGTCTGGCTGCCATTCCACTTTGAGTGGGATAAGGTTTGCTATTGACTGGTTGCGCAGGATGTGTGGTGTCAAGGTTCCGTCGGCTTGGTACCTAGGTGAAACCAAGACGTCCACTGCACCAATTTTTCCATCCCGTGGACTTGCGCGGACTGCAACGATCCTGCAAAGTTTCCACTTCAGGCGTGACATTGGGGTGTCACCCTTGAAGGATGCAACTTTGAGCAGGGCTACCTGGCCCTCCTGGGGCTCCAGATGCGTGGGCCTGCGGCCCATGTGTGTGGGGAAGGCCCATAGTTGGGTCACATACCCAACGTAAAAGGCGTGCCAGAGGTCTTTCAAATAGTCCATGCGCAGCTTAGTGCGCCATTGAAGGCCTTTTTTGTCCGCGTATTCAAAGAATTGTACGGGTGGGGGACCGTAGCAGCACGGATCCCATGCCGCGTCACTGTAATCTTCTCCCCCCGGGTTGAGAAACATTGAAGGGGTGATACAGATCGGATTGTTCTGATCAGTTGGCAAATACATTAATGGGCGGGAATTGAGCATGCACTTGACATATTTGATTGCCTCCATGATAGTGGAGGGGTATTTAAATCGAACACCTTTGAAGGAGCGCGCTAGGCGCCCTTTAATCATCCCCATCATTTGTTCATAGAATCCGCCCCACCAGGGCGCACGGGCCGCATTGAAATGCCACTGAATGTGGTTGTGGGCAAAGTGCTGCTCAAATTCCATCTCTTTGGCACAGAGAAACCGTGGCCATGTGGCCCGGAATGTTGTGCCATTATCTGAGATTACGGTGGTGGGGCTAAGGTCGCGGGAATGACAGAAGGTGTTAAACGCTGTCACAAACAATTCCAGGGAAACATCCCTGACAGGTTCTAGATGGACTGCCTGAGTAAGCAGGCAGGAAAAGACACAGATGGACATTGTTTTGCCGTCCAGGGTCTTGAAAGGCCCTGCAAAATCAACCCCTATGGTCTCAAATGGCTTCATGCTGGAGTACCTGTAGTGCAGGAGGGGCGCCAAGGGCTGCACAAACGGGAGGTTGTCAAACCGTTGGCACCATGTGCACTCCCAACTGATGTTGTGGACTGGTCTTTGCCCCCCCCCCCCTTCATCCAGTAGCAATGCATTAGTTTTTCCAAAATTGAGGTCGTTGAGGCATGTCGCCACTTTTCATGAAACAACCTGATGAATGCTTGCAGGAGGCATCTGCAAAGAGCACCTGAAGGACACTGAGGTAGTCCATATTGACGTCTTGGTATGCAAATGCGCCAATGTTTTCTTTGGCTTCCCCATCAAGGTGGAGTAGCAATACCAGGATGCATTCCATGTCCGTGAGTTGCACGGCTGGGATGATGTGGACTGGCATGAAATTGCGCCAAAGGCGCTCAAACGGATAATTTGAGTCTGCTTGGCCAGTAAACTTGTTAAATGATGCATTGCAAGCCTGCTTTTTGTATGACTTGATGAGGTCAAGGTGGGACAGGCTTGTTGGTTGCCCCATCCCAAATGTCGCAAGGGCGTGATGATATGCCTTGTAAGGTCTGCCCTAGCTGCGGTTGCAGGATGGAGGATGGTCCAGACTCCGAGTTGCCGTAGCTGGCCGGAGCTGGCGGATGTAACAATGCGGGCGCCATAGGGAGCAGAGGAACAATTTGCCCCATCCCAGGATGCAATGATGCTGATCCTGTTCCGCGCAACATGCTGGGCATGTGTGATGGAAGTACGGGAAGCGGTGCCCCCTGGGGGAGGGCTGGGTGCAGCATGCGCCACCGATGGTGTAGGAGGCGCAGGTGCGGGAGGTGCTGTGGGAAAGGCAACCCCCAGGACACGTGGCTGTGTCAGGCAGAGATGAGGCCACCCCCTGGTCATGACATCCATGGACTGCACAAGAAGCATGTTGACCTTGGTTGCCAATTGAGTGAGGGCAGCAATTTCTGGCTGCAAGAATGCAGCAGGTGACAGATCAATCAGATGCGCGGCTGCATCAAAAAATTGCAGAACAATGTTTTCAAAACGTTGCTGCAGATCTCCATGTTCTGGAGTCTGCAAAATGTGGTCGACCACGCCCACCGCATTGGCAAAAGGCAGAGGACGTGTTTAATAATGGCAGGGTGGCGTGCTGTTGACGCCAAGGAACGTCCACTTGAGGCTGCAATCGAGGAAGCGCTGCGGGACGCCGGATGCTGAGATTGTGGCTTGATGCCTGAAAGAGGCGCCTGTTGCGTTTGATGCGAGGACAAGGACCATTTGCTGTTGCGGCTGCCATCCCTTGATGGACTTGGGGACACGCAATGCCATGGCCCTGCCGGTAGGGGTCCACGCCTTTGCAGAGGCTGGCGCGTACCACGCATACGGCTCGAGATGGGAGGCGTGCCTGGGACTGCGCCTTCCTCACTGTTCATTGTGCCGGAGAAAAATTCACACGAGAAAAGGCAGGTGAGTACTTACAGGCTTTTCCACAGGGTGAGGAGGGTGGGGTGTAAAAATGAGGGCAGCAAGGCTGCAATTTCACACACATGTAAATTCCACACCTCAGAAAAAAAAGAACTGTGCCCAGACTTTCAAAAATGCCGGGATTTGACCTTGTAGAGGTAAACCCACTGGCCACCAATTTTGTCAGGCCGATTATACTACAAAGAAGAGAGAAAAAGAAGTGGACACAGCAAACAGCCTTTAGAGGCCGGATCCTCTTTAAGAGAGTCCCTTAACGCAGCACAACTTTAATGCAGGCACAGGGTGACCACAGAAGGACAAATAAGTACGCTCAGGTAAACTCAGGCAAACAACAGATAATCGTAACAGGATGAATAGCTCTGCACAACCACCGTAAGGCAATCCCTATCTCTGAATGATGTATTCCCAAAGTCTTTGGGACTTTGTCCTGGCTTCCGCTGCCAGAGATCTGTATCAGGTAGCTACTGACCCAGTTTACCTCAATGCGGCAAACCGGGTGCCTATCCGCTTCCGGGTCCCTGCGCTGCTTGTTGCTGCGCGGCGTGCCCGAGCAAGGATGCTGCGCTTGGGTCACGCCGCGTGGACGGGACCCCACAAAATCCCCCCCCTTTGGGTGACGACGGCCAAGAGGCTGGAGACGGCCAAAGGACCCCAAAACGGGGTTGCGTAGATGTCGCTGGTTGCCAGGGGCTGGGAGGTGCGGGTGCGGTGGCACCAGGGGACACAGAGCGTCCTTGACCGGTCCAGATTCAAAGATGGTGGCACGCAGGCGCACCAGGGGGTCCTGGAGAACAAAGAAGAGAGCTGCGTCACTCAAGTCAGGGATCCCGCCAGGGGCGGGAGTCCCAAATTTGTCTAAAAAAAGTGCTGTAGGACTCAGTCAGAAGTTTTTGTAGTCAAGTGTCAAAAGTGAGTTTGTTGAAAGAAGGCAAAGGACCAGTGTTGGGGTCTGGCGCTGGGAAAGATTGCTTCATTTTTGTGCGGTGTACTGCTAGGCATCTGCATCCCCATCAATCAGGTCCTGCCGCGCATGCGTTGTTTGTTGGGGGCCCCCCTGAAATTAGAGCAAAAAAGAGACGGGCCATTGGTCTTACCATTGATTGCTGACAGGGCAGCCTTTGGGGTGTCCGTTGCAATTACTACAAATGCACGGACGGCCGTCTTGGCTGAGGCCGGCACCCGGACATGCATGCCCATCCTCAAAGGCTCCACAAACCCAAGGGATCCAGTTTTCACTGGTGCTGCTGCCGGAGGGAGGTCTTACAGTTCTGTCAGGAAAGGCCAGCCCTGCGGAGCTGAGAATTGTAGCTTCGTTGCACCAGCACTAGGCAATCACAGTGTTCTTCTTTGAGTGCCGGAGGCTGAGGATTGAGCCATGGTCCTTTCTTGTTGTTTCAGATCTTCTGAGCAACTCGCGTACCAAAAAAACCAAACAAAAGTGCTAGCAGATCGCAAAAGCAAACAAAAAGAGAAGCGCAATGTAGAGAAGACATCAAGTGATCGCGCCAGGTTGCGCGGATTTCAACAGTGCTTGTCGGATGCCAGTGCCACAAAACAAAGGAACAAAACCGGATTGTGGACTTAGATGGCAAGGAATCATGGATGGAGGCCGCAAGCGTGAGCATAGCGGAGATCACCCGTCAACACCGAAGCGTCAAGCATAGGAGGAAGACGTCTTTGAGCTCAACGTTTCCGGTAAGTAGCGAGGCCTGCGTGTCTGTGACTGTGTGATTGATCCTTTGCGTTTGCCTGCTGCAAAGGAAGCAGACGAGGCGCTGCCTGAGCTGGTGATTGTCGAGGCCGCCAAGAGGGAGGTTGCGCCGACTGGGGCAGCCGGTGAGGCGGTGGAAGACGCGCTGGAAGGTGGGGCGTCTGCGGCGCCATGTGTATGGCTGCTGGAGGTTGTGGAGGCAAACACTGCCATGCTGGCTGGTCTGACAAAAGACAGCTGGCAGCACCTGGTGGCATTAATGCCAATGGCGGCGTCTGTCAATGCCACAACTGCGCACCGGAGGCAGCTTGAGGAGCAGCTTAGACAGGAGACCGCAGCCGCCAAGGCGGCGCATGAGCAGCTGCGCTCCTTGCAGTTGTCCGTCCAAGGGATGACAATGGCAGTGCAGGTGGCCGAGTCCTTTTGTCGTTGCCTGTGCTCGGTCAAGACCAAAAACGCCGCCAGGGAGCAGGACTTGACACAGCGGGTCGCCGCTCAGTTCTGTGTGGCAATGCGCGTTGCATTGAGAAGTCTTGGGCAGTCGTTCCCTGCCGGCGGGCAGATCTTCCTACAAGAGGAAGACGTCGTTGTTTGACAAGAAGGTGAGTGTACTGCGTGCATGAGCAGCAGTGCCCTGCAACTGATGCAGTGGCTCTTGGAAACAGGCACGCTGTGGATGGCGCAGATGGCTATGACGCCCAGCATCAAGTTTGTGTGGGGGCCAACCATGGATGTTGTGCTGGCATGGTACACCGGAACACAATCGGACAAAGCACCCAGGACCGCTGCCATTGAAGCGGCCGCGGCTGCGGCCGTTGCGACGATGCATCCTGTTGAGATGCAGGCAGTGCCATCTTGCTGCCAATCAATGCCCCGGAGGGAGCCGTCGGCTATGAGGGAGGAAGAGGTGGTACCTCTGCCAAGAGCACCATTGCCGGAGATGGCTGGGTGCGGGGATGACCTGGATGTCAAAATGCTGGACGCCCCACCAAGTAAGTTGTGCCTGAAATGGTTGGCGAGAGCCGCAATGAACCTTGGTGTTTTGGTCTGCGCAGTTGCAGATGTTCCAGAGGCGGAGCTGTTTGAAGTGCTGACGGAAACGTGGCGCTTTGAGCCGGAGGATCCCATGACGTACGTTGGGAACGTGCGTCAAGGGCGGGGCGCGACAGGGGATCTCTCCCGCTTTATGCGTAGTTTTCAGATCCCTACGCCCGGATGCACCATTGCCAACTACAGGTTCCGGTGCGTTCAATACCTGAGGATTCCCCCTGTGCCACAGTGTTTCAGCAAAGGCCGCCGGTGTGTGCTGATCATTGGTGATTCTTTGCTGTCCATGGCACGGATCACCCGTGAGACGTGCTGCTTCTTTGGCCGGGTGAGTTCCCGGTCAAACACGCCCCAGCCGGTCTTTGACTATTCTTACCTGACGGAAGACCTGTTGTTTGAGGTGTTCCAAGTAAGTACCTGGGTTGGCAGGGTTGTTGCTGGGCTGTACTAAACAGCTTTTGATGTTTGTTTCTTTAGTGGAGCTTGAGAGGCCTGGCTGCTTTGTGTGGCTGGAACGCCATTTTGCCTGCTGATTTGCGTCAGTGGGTATGGGCGGATCTGTGCCTGCTGGTTGACATGGAGTTTGTTGCCGTGCTCGTACGCATTGGAACAAATGACATCAAGTTCTTGGTGTCTTGAACGGGGCATTGCCCATTCTCATTGTTTGCCACCTTTTTCACACAGCTCCGGATCTACCATGCTGACATCACAGATGCCTTTGGATGTCTGGCGTTTGCGCTGGGCGCGTTGCCGCCATCCAATGAGACAGACGAGGACGCCCATGCTGTTGTCCATGGACTGGATGGTTATCCGGTTTTGCCAGTGCGGGCCCAGCAAGGTCCAACCATGATAGCTCACCGCATGCATGCGGGTGGGCTGCTGGATGGAGTGGGTGCCTCTGGCAACCCGTTTTCGCAGTAAGTGTATTTGCAACTGCTTGGTGTTCTGGTATCTTAACGCTTCTTGCGCTACTTGCAGATTTCACCCAACGGGCTTCTTGACAGGCACATATGGCCATACCTACAGCCATGTGGGCCTTGAGGGTACCAGGATGATGGCTAGCCTGCAGCGTGCCAGGCTGCTTCAAGTGGGCGCAATCATCATGCACGCGGGCCACCGGATGGTGGTGGTGGAGATGACAGCCCTCTGCAAGTGGGTAGTCGGAGTTCTTGGCCGCGTTTTTGTGCCATACGCATTGAACCGCGCAAGATTTAACCAACGCCGCAATGCTGACAACGACGGTTGACAGGTTAGTGGTCGTTGGTTTTGTTGTTGTTGGAGGGAGGTTTTTGTTGGAACGGTAGAGACCGTGTGTACAAACTTGTGGGCCGCCCTCGTGCTTTGAGGGATGAGCCCTCATGATGATTTTTTCCATTGGTCCTTTTGGTCGCTTTCCGTTGATATTGTTTGGATTCCCAACCCCCATGACTGCAATCCCTTCTCGAACTGCGCTGTGTTTTGGATATCAGAAACGTTTGTGATTTTTTGTTGCTCAGTGCACTTTTTTGGTATTGAACGTCCGATGGCATTGTTTTTGTTGTTTGCTTGCCCAAACGGGCGTGGTGCCCAAGTACAGTCAAACCCCGTTAAACCGCCAACATCTGTGCAGCAAGATTTTGGCAGTTTAACGAGGGTGGCGGTCTATTGAGGGTGGTGGGTCATGGGGGGGGGGGGGTGGAATACGTCATAGGCACACAGAACATAGGATTACAGAAAAGGAGAGGAAAACTATTTTTTTTACATTGTAAGTGAGATGACATTTTTCTTGTCCCAGGATGGTTGGAAAGATAAAAATTCATATGCGATCCCTGATAGATTGTTAACTCAAAGAAAATTTTTTGTAAAAGGAAAAAAGACAAAGAGAGGTGTCAGAAAGAGATTTTTTGTACTGCTTTCAGACAAGGAAAGAAAATGAGAATTTTCCTTCCGATGAAAAATAGAAGGATCGAGGAATTTATAATAAATATAAATCGGAATGAAAGGATTATAAATAAAACCAGATAATCAGCCGGGCTGCGGCCGGGACCTGCGTCCTAGTTTAAATTGGTATATTTTTCAGAGAAAGCAAGAATATCTGCTAATATCTCAAGTTTCCAAAACGAGATGATGAAATAACCGCCAAGCAAACGCAAACGAAA